AAATTGTACTAGTGATGGTAGTTACCCACCAGTGTAGCTATGACATAAACAAATTGTACTAGTGATGGTAGTTACCACTAGTGTAGCTATGACATAAACAAATTGTACTAGTGATGGTAGTTACCACTAGTGTAGCTATGATATAAACACATTGTACTAGTGATGGTAGTTACCCACCAGTGTAGCTATGACATAAACAAATTGTACTAGTGATGGTAGTTACCACTAGTGTAGCTATGACATAAACAAATTGTACTAGTGATGGTAGTTACCACAAGTGTAGCTATGATATAAACACATTGTACTAGTGATGGTAGTTACCACCAGTGTAGCTATGACATAAACAAATTGTACTAGTGATGGTAGTTACCACCAGTGTAGCTCTGACATAAACATCTTGTACTTAAGAAAACCAAATTGCTAACACAAATGTATATGACACCAGATACAGAAACAGTAATAAAACAAGCATGCAATACTTCAACAATGTTACTACAAGATACTAGAATACTACTATTCATGAAAAATATGACATATATTATCTTAAGTATTTATTGAAACACAGCCTCATTGTCATATAAAGTCCATAAATGCACACTAGCAGCCTGTTAGCTGAAATAGCTCTGCTGTTTAACATACATAATGGTCATTTTAGCTTTTTTGTGGTAATAAAAATATTCACTAAAATTAGAAAATGCAAGTTATTAATCTGACAAAGGTCTATCCAAGTTGCTATATATAAATTAATAGAGCAATCACTTTAGTTTTGAAATGAAATGTCTAAGCAAACTGCAACCTATTATATCAAATCAAATCTCCATGAAATGCCTAAGCAAACTGCAACTGATTGTATCAAATCAAATCTCCATGAAATGTCCAACCAAACTGCAACTGATTGTATCAAATCAAATCTCCATGAAATGTCTAACCAAACTGCAACTGATTGTATCAAATCAAATCTCCATGAAATGTCTAACCAAACTGCAACCGATTGTATCAAATCAAATCTCCATGAAATGTCTAACCAAACTGCAACTGATTGTATCAAATCAAATCTCCATGAAATGTCTAACCAAACTGCAACTGATTGTATCAAATCTTCATGAAATATTTAACCAAACTGAGTACATGTCTACGGTTTGTAGTAGATTCCAATGAGTCAGTGAGTGAATACAATACTAATACACCAACACACTGAATATATGCTTTGAATAACAAGCTAACCTTTACCCTTCTTTCCTGGAATGTTGCATATATTAGCAAAATAAAACAAGAATAATTGTAAGAAGAACATTAAGTTAGAGTAATAACCTCTGAAGAACCCTTTATGATAGTTGATCAGAGCCAGTAGCCAACATGCATTGGTTGGATCAGAGCCAGTAGCCAACATGCATTGGTTTGATCAGAGCCAGTAGCCAACATGCATTGGTTGATCAGAGCCAGTAGCCAACATGCATTGGTTGATCAGAGCCAGTAGCCAACATGCATTGGTTGGATCAGAGCCAGTAGCCAACATGCATTGGTTGGATCAGAGCCAGTAGCCAACATGCATTGGTTGATCAGAGCCAGTAGCCAACATGCATTGGTTGATCAGAGCCAGTAGCCAACATGCATTGGTTGGATCAGAGCCAGTAGCCAACATGCATTGGTTGGATCAGAGCCAGTAGCCAACATGCATTAGTTAGATCAGAGCCAGTAGCCAACATGCATTGGTTGATCAGAGCCAGTAGCCAACATGCATTGGTTTGATCAGAGCCAGTAGCCAACATGCATTGGTTGATCAGAGCCAGTAGCCAACATGCATTGGTTGATCAGTATCAGTACCAGTAGCCAACATGCATTGGTTGACAAAAATAATAATTTGCACTACAGACATAAAACATGCCATCACCTAAATATGGGTACCAGTTTGTGCCACTACTCAATGTAATCACTGTATTCAAGTTGCAGGGCCTATTTCATTTAACAATGTTTGCAAGTATGTTGTAATATTTCAGATCATGTATCACATTTGTACATCCCTTTTGGTGCTTATTTTCATGTCCAAAAATTGCGATAAAAAAAAAAACACATTAGGAAATATATGCAAATATATTGTTTTTT